GAATTTGTATTGGATCTCCACTTAGTCTCCAATTCAAATGCTTATTGGGAGATTTAATTTACACGATATGTCGACATTTCCATATGAAAAAAGTGGCATGTACACATGCAAATACATATCGCCTAAGAAAAATTTTAATATGTTTGGTTCTAACACTAGTGAGCACCCACATTAATATAGGTTTTCTCATCTATCATTATATCATTGCCGAGCCAACACGTGAAGTTTACAACATTTCGTTGAATAATGTATGCGCTCAGTTGGTGAAATTTGGTTTTCTGTTCTAGTATGTAATGGTTATTTTTTTTAATAAAACTAAATAATTTTAGAATTTAATAAGAAGTTCTCATTCGACAAGTAGCTGCGACACTTCCAATAAGTAAACCTTTTTGCTTACAGGTTTCCTAAATTTAATACATATGTGTATTAATGGTTATTGACTTTTAATGAGATTATTGATTTTTATAACTTTACAAATATATATTATTGAATCATGCAATAAACCTACATAAAGGTTATGACGTTGAATTTCTCCCCATGGTAATATGAATATCAATTGACTGTATCAAATAGTGAGCAGATTTACCCATTTTCGAGCTTAACCCCCTAATCTGTAATTAGAAAAAGAGACTAGCCATACAAAATTGGTCCCTCGTTAATCTGTAATTATAAAATAATCTCAGATTAAACCTATAACTTCACTGATAATAAAATTTCGTAAAAGTGATACGAAAATCTTTCGTAGTGTTGGGTTTTGTACAATGTACGAAACTTTCGTTCATAATACGAACATATTTTTCACAACGAAACAAGATTTTACGAACCATACTTTCGTAAGGCATGTTTTCAGTACAGTTTACGAAATCTTACGTTTATTTTACGAAACACATTCGTAAAGCACTGAGCAAATCTCTGTACGAATAATTTTGTATATTGTAGGAAGGCATTCGTAATACTTACGTATGGTTTTAAAATTTACGAAATCTACAATTCTGTATTCGTGCAATTTAGTTAATACTTTCGTATAAAGTACTAATGCAGAAACATGTTTTTTAAATTCGTACAACATACGAATATTTTCGTACAATATACTCAATTACCGGCAGTTTAATAATTCATCATATTTTTTGTATCGCGTGTCATTGCGGAATTAATTGTTGGCTGCTGTGAAACGTATAATATAATTTTAAACGTTTTAAAAAGGGATTTTCTGGATAAAAAAAACAATACAAAATTAAATATTAAAGCTGTGGATATACTACGCTTTTAAGCATAGATTGTTTTTAACATCGCCTACGCTGCGCCTTGCGCTGCAATGTGGGACTTGATAAATAGGCAATTTCATCAGTTACCAATCAACGGCAAGCCTAAGCCAGGAGTACTACTTAATGAAATTAAAAGTAAGTACATGTATGACTTTTCACTGAAACTTGCTTTTCAGACGCCTTATAATTTTCCTTTAATTTATAGTCGTCAAGGAAACAAACATCGATGAAGCTGCGAATCTGTCAAGTGCCTCTACATAAAAATATTGTAATGTAATATTGTCTCATAGTTTAACACTTTGCATCAATATATTTTATTGAATGAAGCCTAAGCAATAGAAAATATGTAGTATAGAACCTGTTCGTATGCATATAAATAAAAGACTTAAGTTTTATTATAGGTAAAATAACCTTTTTATTAATTCTAAACTACAGTGTAGTCAGAACATTCTTCTTCTTTCGTAGAACGTATGATTGCTTTTATTATTAACACTATAAAAAACATGACTAAAATTGCAGCACAACACTTTCATTATATTTTAATCAATAATGTTAAGCGTTTTTTACAGTGTGGAGAATGAAAGCAAAATCGCACATTCTACGAAACAAGCGCAGATTTTACGATAGTAATTTCGTTAAATATACGAATTATTTCTGTGCATTTTACAAAAATTTCGTAAAAAAATAAAGAAATAGTACGAATGTTTTTTAGTAAATAGTACGAAATTCGTTAGTAAATAGTACGGAATTCTTTAGTAAATAGTACTAAATTCTTTAGTAAATAGTACGAATACATTCGTAAAATGTACTAAAAATCTGATGCCTCATATTTTCGTAGTATGTACGAAAACGGTTTTGTACAATCAACGAAACCTTTCGTGGCTCAAAATGACGAAAAATTTCGTAAGATTTACGCAAGTTTTCCTTCTATTTACGCAGATTTTATTTACAGTGTTTTCGGTGTCCAACCAGTTTTATCGAATCTTTTTGCGAAGCAGAGGAAATGTAAAAGTAAAAAGAATGAACGCTAGCAAGGAAACGAGGTTTGTAAAGGTATTTTTAATAAAATATTAAGTTAAAATATATTTAAATTGCTTAATACTGAAGAAAAAAGTGATCACGGTGGCGCAGAGAAGAAACTTAACTTTTCCTTGATTTGTGAGAATAATAAGCACAACAAATTTTATGGCTAGCTTTGATTGAGATTTTATGTATATGTAAATGTATTTTTAGGTAGCTTTTCTAGATTTAATTAAAATTTGTAACAAGAACCGGTCTCTAGTTTACAAAAATGACTGTATGAGCTGTACCTAAATATTTTAAATTTTCCTCATACAAACCAGTTCTGGGTGAACACTAATGAGCTGCTTATCCATTAGTAATTGTAAGATAGGGAAAATGACAGCAACAATATTTATGTAAATACTATCTATGTATCTTCACATAAAGATACATATGTACATACGTACTATATACCCGTACATATGAATGTACCCTTGTGTTCAGCTGATTAAGTTAAGTTGTGGTTATTTTGTTTTGTTTATTTAATGTTTATAATTATTTTTATAAAAGTCTAGCACATTACATAACCAGCACCGTATGAATCCACATTTCAAACTTCGTATACAAATTATAAAAATTCAACAAACTTAAACAATTACACCCAAAAATTTTAAACTTTTTATCTTAAAGTCCAACGGGCATGTTCCGAATTTCGAAACTTTGAAATCGACTTGATTTACCAAATATTTTTTAATTATATCTGATGAAAAGAGCGAATATTCTAATTGAAAACCGTAAAAGAAGCAGCAGCGGTATGAAATAAATCATTTTAATGCGAGGCTTGAAAATTTTTGGGTTAAAAACCATCGAAAAAATTATCGAAATGGGTAGAGTTTCTCGAATTTTTCGAATTTCAGAACATGCTTGCAAATTTCAATACGCAAGGAAGTCGCGTTGATTAATAATATTGTTTTTGTGGCTGACGGTGTTGTTCATTTTCTTCCATGTAATGTATGCTCGGCCACGGTGGTGCAGTGCGCGCTTTCACTCATCAGCACCTGAGTTCAAGCCCTGGTCAAAGCAACATCGCAAAAAATATAGAAAAAGGTTTTTTCTTAACAGCGGTCGTCCCTCGGCAGGCAATGGCAAACCTCCGAGTGTATATCTGCCATGAAAAACAGCTTCTCATAAAAATAAAATCGCCGTTCGGAGTCGGCATGAAACTCTAGGTCCCTCCGCTTTGTGTGACAACATCAAGGCGCACGCCACAAGTCGGGGGAGAAGCTCGGCCATGTGTAAGCGCCAATTTATTATTATTATTAATGTATGCTCGACAATTACTTTTCTGAATAAAGAGTTTAAAATTTTTCGTTGTAATTGTTTAAGTTTTTTGAATTTTTATAATTTGTACACGAAGTTTGAAAAGTGGATTTATGTGGTGCTGGTTATACTGAATAACAAATTTTAGTTTGGTTTTTGTTCTCCAGCTGCCACTGTCGAATTTGTATGCAGAATTGCTCGGTGATTCCGAAAATCGAGTTAATTTTTTTGCTTTGGATACGTTTTCTAGGTATTTGCAATTTACCGTTATTCAGCTTGAAATAAAAAGTGGTTCCACTTATTCACGTATATCTTACGAACTAATTTAACAATCATAAAACGAGATACGTCAAATCAGAGCAAATAAAATTCTCCATAAACCATGTATAAATCACTTTCCGATAGGACTGACAGTTTCTGACAAACTAATTAATCATACCAGTTTTTTTTTATTTTTTAACGAAAAAGTTAAAAAAATCAAACTTTAACGGAAGAAAAATTAAAATAATAACAGGTTCTGTGCCAAATTTTTGCATTTGTACTAAAGCCTGTTCTGTTAAAAAAAAAATCAAGTTACTAATGAAGGAAAGCGAGGGATAAATAAAGAAGTAATGAGTGGAATGGTCGACAGCCAGTTCCAAAACGCCCTATCTCAGAATTCGGTTCAAAAACGCCCTATCTCAGCACATTTTCAATACATTTTCATTAGAGATAGGGCGTTTTTGAACCAAATTCTGAGATAGGGCGTCCTTTAACCAAATTCTGAAGTAGGGCGTTCGTGAAAAGTTTTCTCAGGTAGGTCTATCTTCCACTCAGGTGTCGATATGTTCACATCTATGTATTTTGAATATGAGCAAAGTTAAAATATATTGGCCCATCCATAAACCTCTTTTAAATGCTATGAAAACTTTTTTTATATGGATCAAACAAATATTTTTAACTGTTGGTATATTTACACCATTTATATGTCGTCACTAGACACAAATAAAGGCAACGAGCTCAAACGTTGACCGCGAAAAAAGGCGCATAAAAAAAAATTTCAGCGGAGAAAGACTCTTAACATAGTTGACGGCGAAGAAAGTCGCGTTAAAATATTTGACGGCGAAAAAAGACGCGTCAACTTATTTTCGTGGTCAATTATGTTTGCGGGTGTAACAGCATGCAAGTTCCCTAAAAAGTTTCTAGATAATGATGCTTAAGTGACGGTCCTTGGCCAGGTATTAATCTATGTTTACGCGTCTTCCTTCGCCGTCAACTAGGTTTCGCGCCTTTCTTCGCCGAAGTTTTTTTTAAGCGTCTCTTTTCGTAAATTTTTTTTATGCGTCTTTTTTCGCCGTCAAAACACTAGCGCGCCCTTCTTCTTGTGTAGTGACGCTGCGTGTTAATTTATTATAAGCTTAAGAAAATACTCACCGGCCGTTTTCTCCTTTTTTTGTTTTTCCTTCTCCTGAAGTGGAATTTTATTAGCTAATTCTCCAGACTGAGCTGCAGTTGTGGTTCCACTTTGACCGATATCCAATGGATCCCAATCCATTCGTCTCTTTCGTGAACCACTATTTGAATAAATTGTCTGTACGTCTATAATTTGGGGTCCAGGCGTTTCTTTGGATTGTTCGTCTGAAATATGAACATTAAATACATACATATATAACTTTGACCAATTCGTTTTATGTGGTTATTAATTGATTACACAGTGCTACAAAAATATGGAATACACCTGGAACATAAAGTAGTGCAGGTTATAAGTAGGTCAAATTTAATAAGAAAATAGGTGTCCCTAAACCTTTCATTTTTTTTTAATCACGAAGCTACACATACCTTGACCATTTTTTTATCTACTTTTAAAAATAAAACATATAAAATTATGTACATATCTATCCTCTGCAATAACGGCACAACTCAAAATTTCATGTTTTTGAGTTATATAGCGGATTAGGTTTATATATAACCATTATACAACCATATTTTTCTGCGGTAAATCGGTATATGCTTAGTCGTTACCAATCCGACAGGGGCGCAGTTTTGCCATAGGGGTATTCTCGATCCGGTGCATACTGCCTAGCATGGAGGATAGATAGCATAAATAGCATGATTGGCTAATTTTGTTGTTGTTTGAACACATGAAACAACAACAATCATGCTATTTATGCTATCTATCCTCCATGCTAGAGAGTATGCACCGGATCGTGACAACCCCTCATTTGTCACAAAACCGAAATAGCCAACCCTTACTACTGAGCAATGGCACATGTCTCACATTTATCGTGAATATTGGCATAAGTCAAAAGCGACACTTTTCGTATTGTGCCGTTATTCTTTACATAGTTTCAGTAAGGCACTAAAGGCGGACTCACCGTTTGTGACTGCAAATAATCCGGGATAATTACGTTCCAATGCATATTATTGTTAAATTAAAACACACAAAGTCTTTAATTAGACTGAAATATATCAAATTTTGAATGCGCCGTTATTGCAGAGGACCGTCGATATGTATATAAATTTATTGTTAACCTGAAACCCCCTATTTTTCTTTATTTTTCCAAGGACGACCATCGTTTATTGCAAAACTTACAATGAAAGTGGTTAAATATGCGCTAATATTCTAAAATTACTATTATTGGCGAAAAAATTGATGCCATATTTATTGAAATCAGATACAAACCATTGAAACTACCAATTTTTTTCTTAAATACGGCCTTCAATTTATGTGTGTATATATATTGGATTTTATATCTTTTGCGTAGTGTGGCCCCAGAATTCTTTCATATATTGGTGTATCCATGATGTCGGACGTGACATTCGTACGACTTCAGAGTTAAATATATTAATCATACGAAAACGAAAGCCACTTATAAAAATTAAATTACAAATAACAAAAACAGAAGAGTTTTTAGACTACATGTAAAAATAAGCAAAACTGTGCGAATCCTGTGAAGTTTTCCTTTCTTAAACATTATTTTAGTAATCAAATTACGGAGCATTTCAGCCAATTTGTTTTTAATCAGAAGCAATTCGTAGGTTTAATTCTGAATTAAAATGTGATAACGGACGTGACATATCGGGCTTGACAGATTTTCGCCCATACAATATTATTGGCCCCTATTATGAGTTACATTCGATCTTCGACTGTGGTCGAAAGTGCTGATCGAACGAATTTTGATTTGGTATTATGGCGCTCATTCGATGAAGAATAGCGCTATTGTGAACTTCGCTCGTTTAAGTTGTTCACAATAGCATATTTTTCACCGCTGAGAAGCTTTGTTTACAAATCGAGCAAACTAAATAGTGTGCTTATACATATTTATGTAAATTTGTGCAAATTAAAATGAAATAAAAAAGAAAGCAAGTTTATAAAAACGTGGTAAAAATTAGTACAACGAAGTTCTGAGGTTCAACGATTCGTCAGAGGATGAGAGTTTAGTGAACTGACCAGGAGTAGTAAATATTTAAGAGGGTTTAGGTGTAGTCTTTACAGTATATTTTGACATAAAATATATTTAAGAAATTTGTCTACAGATTTACTAAAACATTCCGACTGTCTAAAGAGGCTTTTGTGAGCCAAATCTATTTAAAATATTTTAAAGCTATCCACAGCTCTATGATTTTTTCTCAGAGACCGTGCCAACTGAGTATTGGGATTTTCCTTCACAAGTAAAGCAGCCTTTCGAGCTTTTGTTTTGTATTCGCGACGTTAAAACTGAATGAAATTGATAAAAAATTGTTTAAAATTAGTGTCTACCCGCCAAAAAGTAAGAAAACAAATGCAAAATCATAAATTTTTCACAATTTTCTAACACTTCGCTACCCCATCGAAAGCAAAATTCTGTTCGACAGAAAATTCGATACTCAACGAAAATTTCGACACGGTCGAAAATCGAATGCACTCATAATAAGGACCATTATTGGTAACACATACATACATATATAATTTAATTTTGTATTTAATTTTTTCTGTTTTCCCCTCCACCGTTTCCCCTTTTCATAACCTTTTTTCGCCATCTGAATGCGAAATTGAAAGTTATAAAGCCGTTTGAATTCATTTACATTTTTATGCAAACACCCATATGTACATAATTGCAAACATACACTTGCGGTCAGCTAATTAAGTTAAGGTGTACTTACACGATATGTATTTGCATGTGTCCATGCCACTTTTCACATATGGAAATGCCAACATATCGTGTAAAGGCAAATTAGATTTGTTTATGTACAAAGCAGATGCACGTACAACGAAATAGAAATGTTTCTATTTTCATCTGACATACAAATAGAATCATCTGGGTTTGGTTTATTTCGTTTTCAAAGAACGTATTTTTAAATACTTAAATAAATACTGTGAATTTGACAAACATACGCAATAACAACCCTGCAGGGAAACCGCGGTCTCGTGAATCAAATTTCTAGTTCCGTACTAGGTCTTTATCGCCAAAAAGGCACTAGGCCGATATGAACTAGATCCCCACCAGTCCAAAGTCGGCGAAAAGTGGTATTTTTAAAATACCATTTTTTTAGTTTTTTTCACTAGAAATGGATATCAAAAGTGACGAATTTAGAAATGGTTCGGAACTATAGAAAAAGGGATGCAGAACGGACTAGATCTTATTTGCCGAATTTAGAACAAGTTCGGAACTATCGAAAAAGGGATGCAGCGGAGGGCCTGTTTACTTTGCATAGGTATGTGTTCGGCGGCTTTTTCGTTCAAATACGCTTCTATTCTGCTCTTCGCAGATGCTTTTTCATAGCTTGGTAATACAAAACCAAAATTTGTGTTAACATTGCAACATCTTGGGACCGTCTGGAATCTAAGAAATAACAGCGAGCACCTCTGAAAACTCAGCTACAGCTAAAGGTATGTAAATGTACATTTCTTACAATCATTCAAACAAATTTAATTTCAAATTGAAAATACATTTCTTCCAAAATAACTTAAAATCGCACACACGGAAGAACCAAAAAGATTAAAAAATCATGATACTTTTTTCTTTTGTTCGTCGATTTCAGAACTGGTTCGGAACTATAGAATTTAGGCTAGTTCGGAACTATCGAAAAAGGGATGCAGCGGGCGGCAATTGGCACTTCCTAGGGCATCGCCATGTTAAATTCGCCAGTTGCTTGCATGCAAAAGAGATTTATCTCGAACCAGTACTGGGTCTAAATGTACTAGAAGCGCACCTGTTCAGAACTAGAGATTTTCCCCACAGGGAAATGTATTGAAAGTCACATTTACAGATGCAAATACATATCGTGTAAGAACACCTTTAAGAGACATTTTGACCAGTTTTGGCTATTTTTCTTTTGTTTAATTACTGTTTATAATTTTTTATAAAAGCCTAGCACATTACATAACCAGCACCACATAAATCCACATTTCAAACTTCGTGCAAAAATTATAACAATTACACCCAAAAATTTAAAACTTTTTATTCAGTTTACATCAGAGTTGTGAAAAACGCATTATGTAAAAAATTAATGCAATAATTTTTTAAATTTAATGTAAATGAAAATTTCAATGCATTAATTCCGAAAATATAATGCTAATGATTTTTTTTTTTTATTAACATTAAAATTTGTAAATGAATGTTATTGCAATAATTTATTGCATTAAAACTATAACAAGCATTAAAAACCATAAACTAATTTTAGCTTGTAGTGAAAATTCTTTGTTGACGTTAAGGCAGGGTGCGGAGATCGATCAAAATACGATCTTTTCGCAATCAATCGCGGCCAAAAATTGAGTGCATGCAATTTTTCGCGATTGGTAACGTAGCGCTGCGAGCAGAAGCATTTACGATCTCTTACGAGCAATATCAGTGTTCGTTAAAATTACGAGAGAGAAGATTTCGCTGCAAGCGTCGGTCGTTCGATCTTTCGCGATCGTTCGTTGGTTGCGAGCGTTTTTTGTGAAACTCAATCAGTAGTTGCGTTTTTTTTACTCATTTCCAGTAAAATCCAGTAAAAGGTTTTACGAATTTTCATGTTTTGGCGTTTTCGTACGCAAAAACTTGCAAAGTAGGGGAAATTGAGAGAGCGAAAAATGACAGCTGAAGTTGCAAGTTTTTACTGGATAAATTTTTATACCCGAGCGCACTTGTGCACAAGGGTATTATAACTTTGTTCACATAACGGTTGTTTGTAACAGGCAAAATGAATCGAGATAGATATAGACAAATGTATACATAAATGATCAGGATGAAAAGAGAAATCGATTAAGCGGTGACTGTCTGTCCGTCCGTCCGTCCGTCTGTCCGTCTGTGCACACGATAACTCGAGTAAAAATTGAGATATCTTAACGAAACTTGGTATGTGCATTTCTTTCGGGCGTAGGACGGATGGTATTGAAAGTGGGCAAAATCGGACAATAACCACGCCTACCTCCCATATAACGGTAGTTTTCAGAAATACAAAAACTGCGATATTTTAGTAACTACTGAAGATAATTCACTCAAAATTGATATTTATAATAAATTTTAGACGAAAAATAAGAATATTAACATTTTTTTGAAAATGGGCGTAGCCACGCCCACTTATGGTTACATGTGTATATCTTGGTAACCGCTGCATCAATTTATTCCAAACTTTGCACAGTTGTTGGCCTTAATACAGCATACTAAATGGCC